CACGAAAATAAACACGTGATTAAGAATGTGACAATGTCAGACCACGGAGGAAAAATGAAACAGGAAATTTCCTTAAGTACTTTCGTATATTAAATACATCTTCAGAAAATATATAAATACATATTAAATACATATTAAATACATCTTCACCTTCTGAAGATGTATTTAATATACGAAAGTACTTAAGGAAATTTCCTGTTTCATTTTTCCTCCGTGGTCTGACATTGTCATATATATATATATATATATATATATATATATATATATATATATATATATATATATATATGTCGTACCTAGTTTTTTCTTATGAAATTATAAAGCTATCCATTTCACTGTGTATGAGTTCATTTTTTTTAATTTGAGTTAAAACTAACGTAGATATATGACCGAGTACCAATATACACATTTTGTGGCCATATTATTGTGTTATGTTGGGGGGGTCCAATCGTTACACCTCGAGACAATCAAATAACATCAGTAAGCATTCCCCTTAATCAGTCAATCCTCCCTTCAATGTGTATTAACGTAGACATTTATAGTTATATGGAGATTACATGTTAATAATTTCACATACAGGAGTTTGTCTACGAAGAAGATAACGTCTTCCAGTGGATCACTGGTCTGCTCGGTCAACACGAATTAACAGGATTAGACTGGTGTTGGGAGGCTGTCTGACGCATTCTGCCTGAACTGCTTGACAGCTAAGATTTGGTTTATTCATAACCTTTCAGTTAGTTAACTAACTCATTGATTAGAATTTAAATTAAATTTACTGTTGAATGATTTATTATTCATAACAGGTAGTCCCAACATTATTGGTTCTACCCCCCCAAAAGATGTGCAGGGAGAATAATCCAAATTTAAAAGTTTTACAGTCCGATTCTCTAGTATTTAATCCAATTAATTATTTACATTATTATTTTATCAATATATTTGTTGGAAATTATTCCCCCACAAATACGACCACCAACACAACTACTACCAACACCACCACTACCACCACCACCACCAGCACCTCCACTACCACCACTGCAACCACCACCTACCACTGCCAACAGCACATGCACTACTACCACCAACATCATCTCCCCTACTGCCACCACCACCAGCATCTCCACCACCATCATCACAAGCACCTCGAGTACCACCAGCAACACCTTCACAATCACCACCAACACCACCAACACCAGCACTTCCACCACTGGCACCTTCACTACAACTACTAGCATCTCCACCATAACCACTAGAATCTCCAATACCACCACTAGCACCTGCTCTACCACCACCAGCACCTGCTCTACCACCACCACCACCACTACCACCACCACCAGCATCTCCACTACCACCACCACCAGCATCTCCTCTACAACCACCTCCACTACCACCACCACAACCACTAGCACCTCTACTATCACCATAGCAGCATCTCCACTAACACCACCACAACCACCTCCACTACCACCAACAGCACTTCAACCACCACCACCACCAGCACTTCCATTACCACCAACAGCACCTCCACTGCCATCACCAGCAACTCTACTACCACTACCACAACCACCATCTCCACCACTACCAGCACTTCCACTACCACCACCACCAGCAGCAACACCTCCTCTACTACCACTAGCACCTCCACAACCACCACTACTACCACAAGCACCTCCACCACTAGAACCTCCACTACAACCACTAGCACCAACATCTCCACTACCATCACCACCATCAGCACTTCCATTAACACCATCAGCTTCTCCACTGCCACCACCAGCACCTCCACCAGCACCAGCACCTCCACTATCACCACCACAAACACTTTCACTACTATCACCAGCACCAACAGCACCTCCACTACCACCACCAGCACTTTCACTACCACCAACAGCACTTCCAGTACCACCACCAGCACCTCAACAACCACTACCACCACCACAAGCACCTCCACCACCACCACCAGTACCTCTACTTCCACCATCAACACCTCCACTAAAACTAACACCACCGACAGTACCTCTTCTAACACCACCAGCACCTCCTCTACCTCCACCAGTACCTTCACTACCACCACCACCACCTCCACAACCACCCCCACCACCTCCCCTATCACCACCAGCTCCAACACCACTACCACCACCTTCACAACCACTACCCTCACCAACACCAACACACACTAAGACCTGAGACAAGGTCTCAGATTGGCGAGACGTTACAAGGGGAGTCCCGCAGGGGTCAGTCCTTTGACCTATACTGTTTCTGATATATGTAAATGATCTCCCAGAGGGTATAGACTCGTTTCTCTCAATGTTTGCTGATGATGCAAAAATTATGAGGAGGATTGAAACAGAGGATAATAGTAGGAGGCTACAAGATGGCCTAGACAGACTGAGTGAATGGTCCAACAAATGACTGTTGAAGTTCAACCCGAGTAAATGCAAAGTAATGAAACTAGGCAGTGGAAACAGGAGGCCAGACACACGATACAGAATAGGAGATGAAGTACTTAATAAAACGGACAGAGAGAAAGATCTAGGAGTTGATATCACACCAAACCTGTCTCTTGAAGCCCACATGAAAAGAATAATGTCTGCGCCATATGCGAGGCTGGCTATAATCAGAACAATGTTCAGGAACTCGTGTAAGGAACCATTCAGAATCTTGTACATCACATATGTAAGACCAATCCTGGAGTATGCGGCCCCAACATGGAGCCCGTACCTTGTCAAGCACAAGACGAAGCGGGAATCTGTACACCAGTTGATTGACAGTTGAGAGGCGGGACCAAAGAGCCAAAGCTCAACCCCCGCAAGCACAAATAGGTAAGTACACTACCACACCACCACTACACTACAGCCGTACAACACCACCACTACACTATAGCCATACAACACCACCACCCTACACCATCACTACCACACCAAACCACACACTACCATACTACTTCCACCACCAACACCACACACCACCACTACCACACCACCACTACACACTACCGCTACCACACTACACCACACCACCACCACCACCACCACCACCACCACCACCACACCACCACCACCACCACACGCTACCACTACCACACTACACCACACCACCACCACATACTACCACTACCTCACTACACCGTACCACCACCACACAATACCTCTTGAACAGTACACCATACTACCACCACACACACTACCTCTTCCTCTTCCTCACCAGCTTGAGGCTTCAAGAAGACCTGGACAAGCTGCAGGAATGGTTGAACAAATGGTTGCTAGAGTTTAACCCAAGCAAATGCAATGTAATGAAAATAGGTGTAGGGAGCAGGAGACCAGATACAAAGTATCATTTGGGAGATGAAATACTTCAAGAGTCAGAGAGAGAGAAAGACCTGGGGGTTGATATCACGCCTGACCTGTCACCTGAAGCTCATATCAAGAGGATTACATCAGCAGCATACGCCAGGTTGGCTAACATACGAATGGCCTTTAGAAACTTGTGTAAGGAATCTTTCAGAACTTTGTATACCACATATGTCAGATCAGTCCTGAGGTATGCGACTCCAGCATGGAGTCCATATCTAGTCAAGCATAAGACCAAACTGGAAAAGGTTCAAAGGTTTCCCACAAGACTAGTACCCGAACTGAGGGGTATGAGGTACGAGGAGAAACTACGGGAATTAAACTTCACGTCTCTGGGAGACAGAAGAGCTAGAGGGAGACATGATCAACACATACAAGATTCTCAGAGGAATTGATAGGGTAGATAAAGACACGATTAACCACAAGGGGCACAGGCACTATGGGACACAGGTGGAAATTGAACGGCCATATGAAAAAACCATGTTGTAAATCATTTATTAATTTATGTTTTTCAAGGTGAACACGAATGGTATTTGCATTTATCGATTCAAGAAACTTTCCCACAATAGACGTAAAGCTAATTGGCCAATAGTTTGACATAGCTGATCTATCCCCTTTCTTGAAAATTGGTACCACATTTGCAACCTTCCACGACCATGGCACTCTGCCTGACTCTAATGATCTATTAAATTTGGAAGACAATTACTCGCAAAGCTCGTCTTCGCATTCCTTAAGCACCCTGACAAACACTTCCTTTGGCCTTGGGGATTTGTTTGGCTTGAGTTTCACTATTTGTTTAATAATATCCTCCCTGGTAACTGCCAAACTAGTCAACCTGTCTTCTTCCCCACTCACATAGACTTGTTTGGCTGAAGGCGTAGCATACTCCAACACTGTGCACTCAGAGGAAGGTGTACCGCACCCCAGCTCTGTACACCTCACAAATATATACCCGAGCATTTTCTACCAAAACATTTTGAAACCCAACACTCTGTACCGCAGAGCACTGCAACCTCAGGACTGTATATCCCCAGCACTCTGTACCCCAGCGCAGTGCATCTAAAGACTATGTAGCCCCAGAACTCTGTACCTCAAGACTGCGAATTCCCAGCACTCTGTATCCCAACGCAGTGCACCTAAAGACTATGTATCCCCCGCATTCTGTACCCCAGCGCAATGCACCTAAAGACTGTGTATCCCCAGCACTCTGTACCTCAGCGCAGTGTATTTATAGACTGTGTATCCCCAGCACTCTGTACCTCAGCGCAGTTCATTTATAGACTGTGTATCCCCAGCACTCTGTACCCCAGCGAAGTTCATTTATAGACTGTGTATCCCCAGCTCTCTGTACCCCAGCGAAGTTCATTTATAGACTGTGTATCCCCAGCTCTCTGTACCCTTGCGCAGTGCACCTAAAGGCTGATTATCTTCAGCACTCTGTCCCACCAACATTGTTTTTCCCAGTACAATTTATCACCAGCATTGTTTACCCAGCACTATGCACCCCAGTTCTGTGTACCCCTCCCCCAGTACTGTCCACCCCCTTCCCAAGTACTATGTATCCCGTCCCCCAGTACAGTATCCATAGCACTATTTGCAGCTGTTCCACTCCATCCGAAATTAACATTGACTCACTATCCCTTGCTTACGCACCTGGACTTGAAGGTGTAGGTTCCATGGTTGGGATGATCGGCTCAACGTCAGGATCGCCCAGACAGGTGTTGGTGCTGACGGCATATGTATCTGTGTTGATGGCCGTCACGCACACCCTCGGATCCTCCGCGTTGTATCCCTTGATGGTGTACTTCTTCAAGGTGGTGACTACGAAGTTTTCGAGAGCAGTGCCCCAAGACACGTTGTAGATAACTGAGTAGCATCCCTCATATGGGCAGTTGTCGTAGGTCCAGGTAACAAGGAGCTCACCTCTAGGGCTATCTTCAACCCTCAGAGTATTTGGTCCTAGAAAGTAGAGATTGGAAAAGTAAAATGTGAAATGCGCTGTTTATTATGAGCTAAACACCTGTTGATTGTCAGTGGTTATAACCGTTATTAAAAAAAAATGATCTTCACTTTCTTGTAGTACATTTATCCGTCTATTTACCATGTATTTCTAGATCCTGTCCCATCCTGCTTTTATTTCATGCAATAAGAACATAAGAACATTAGAATGAAGGTCACTGCAGAAAGCCTATTGGCCCATGTGAGGCAGCTCCTATTTATATCTACCCAATCTCATTCATATACATATATATATATGTCTAACCTACACTTGAAACAATCATGGGATGCAGATAATGAGTCACAATAACGTGGATGAAGAATGTTAACCAAACCACACACTAGAAGATGAAAAGACTTCTTAGTAGAAGTTTAAGAAACAAAATAAGTCATTTAAATGTTATTGTCAGCACACAAAAAAATATATATTATTGCACTTACCGAAAAGTGGATGAATATCGAAAACAGAGAACTATTAGCTGAATATGAAATAAATGGATTTAAAGTATTTCACACAGATATATTAGACGAGGAGGGGGAGTAGCCATATATGTTAGGGGAAACTTGAAATGTAGTCTCAAAGAGGGAATCAAAACTGAGCCACACACAAAAACTATTTGGATAGAATTAAACGGAAAAGCAAATAATCATATAATAGGAGTTATAATAGGCCACCAAACATAGACATAGTGGAAGAAAAGTATTATATGAGCTTACCGTAGAGTCTGTGTCTCGAGGGTGCTCAGGTCCTGGGGCTGGATTCAGGAAGGTACTTACGAAGGTTTTTCCTCTTAGCTAAGAGCGTTTTCCGTCTTAGCGCCTTCGTGGCGGCTACGTCCGTATTCAATTAACTACCCTAAGTGGAAAAACCTTCGTAAGTTCATTCCGGGATTTAAGTGTGGTTTCGACCACTCGTAGCTTTGCGTAAACTGGATATAAGTCATTTTTTCTCTACTACATAACACTGGGATCGATTTATGATATTGGAACATGACCAAAATATTATAGCTGGTGAATCTAGTGAAGAGGAGTCCTTCGTGTTAGTTATATATGCATTCTCTGCTTGAAACTTGATGATAGCAGAATTGATGATAGTGTTCAAACACATAGTGAATATGTGTTTGATGATAGCAGAATTAGTTTTATAATAGCAAGATATTATACCAGTAGTTATTAAGTAAATAAACACTGGTGAACATGAAATATGAGAGAAGGTGATGAGCCCAGCCTGATGGGATCATTTACTATCACCAAATGCCCCTGTTCACCTAGTAGTAAGGGTGTACCTTAGCTATACATACCCATTTCTAATTTATTTAGTTTGGTTTTATTTTGAAATTAAATCTGGGTGAGACATAAAATAAAAATATGCTGTTCAAATGATGTTAGGTAAGGAAAAGGGTAAAAATGTCAAAAACTTTATTCATTGAATACTTAAAGCTATAATTATGACTATATAGATTATTAAAAAAGAGAGAGGGAAGTAGGGGTCCAAGACCTCTTCCTGTTATACAATTTGGGTGTGGAACAAGTAATTATCAGAAGAAGGCACCATGCCGGGAAGGCTATGTAGCAGTAAGGCAGTGAGGTGAGGCAGCTACTTACTTGAGAAATGCTTATTTTATTTAAATTATAAGCTGAGGCAACTTATTTTATTTGAGGAATACTCAGCTGATTCCTCTACATTTAGCATGGAACAAATTTGTGTCCAAGACCTCTACCTGTTACTCAATTTGGCTGTGTGTAACCAAACTAGAAGTGCTCTACAAATCAAGGGACCCAGAATGTGGAATGACCTCCTGAATCATGTCAAAGGCTGTACCTCTCTCAACCAGTTTAAGAGTTACACCAAGTACTGCCTAATTAACTCCATGTAACCTAACTTACCTCCTAAATGTCAACCCATGTCTTGCTATTTTTTAAACAACGCTGTTCACCAACATGTGCAATTGCTGATTTATGCTATGCTAACCCCCCTTTTTGTATTTTTTATTCCTTCTTTCAACACAATTTATACCTAATCCCGATTACTATTAAGTTTTAGTCTGTGTTTTTTTTCCCCCACACCTTGCCCGAAATGCTATGAGTATTAGTGGCTTTAGGTATTGTATGTACTAGCTCTGCCTATAAATCCAACATTATGTTTGTAAATCAACTGTATGTACTTTTCCTGAATAAAATGTATTTATTACTTATTTTTTAAACAGTAAGTATTAAAAGAAGGCACCAAGCTGGGAAGGCTATGTAGCACCATTGTGTGTAACAATAAACCAAATTTTTTTTAACACATAATGCACCTGTATGGGAAAACAAATCCTGTCAGTCAGCTGTAAAAATATTGATGCAGTTATTTAAATGAAAAATATAATGAAAGAAATATTACTGGTTTATTTTTATCCTATCTTTTTGTACAGTACAGTATATCCAAGGAAGTGAAAAATTGAGACATAATGCACAATTTAATGAATGATTAGCATGGATTAGCAGTTCAAAAGAAATATGACTTGTATTACATATCAACATGAGATCTTAATGATCCATGGTCAACATGATTTAATAAGGATAATACAGTACTGTATTTGTAATACAAACTATTATTTAAAATCTTTATTACTGATTTTTTTTTATTAAGAAGATTAGGTATACACAGCAATGTGCTGCTACCCTATTCTATATGGAATATTACACAATGTTGTGACGGTAACGCGTTGGTGTTCGGCTGCAACGTTTTGCGCTCTGGCAAACCTTGCTGGTGTTGTTGTCGTTGTTGGACATTTCTTCCATAGTAGTTTTATATAATTTCAACGACGTAATGGTGGAGGGAAGAGCAGGCTCAATCTCTTGAAGGAGATTATCGTCACAACTCTCCCCCGAAGCCTGCGGTTCTGGAAGAAGTACGTCGTTATGTGGTGGAGTAATGGATGGAGTCGCTTCTACTTCATAAACTCTGGAGAGGGCATCGGCTATGGTGTTGTCAGAACCCTTGATATAGCGGATCTCCAGGTTGAAGTCTTGTAAATACAGAGCCCATCGTAGAAGACGCTGGTTGGTGAATTGGGCTTGATGTAGGAAGCGGAGAGGGTTGTGGTCTGAGAAGATGGTGGTAGACCTGGCGCCTTGTAGGTACGGAGCGAAGTGTTGGAGGTTCAGGACGATGGATAGTAGCTCCTTTTCAATAGTGCTGTAGTTCCTCTGGTGTGGTTTCAGTTTGTAGCTGTAGTAGCTGACAGGTAGAACCTCCTCGCCTCGTTGTTGCATCAGGACACCACCAACGCCGGTACCACTGGCGTCGACATGAAGGACGAAAGGCTTGGTGATATCTGGAGAGGCGAGAATGGGGTTAGAACAGAGGAGGAATTTGAGTTGTTCGAAAGCAACGGTTTGCTGTATGGTCCAATTATACCGTTGCTTGGGACTGGTTAATAGAATTAGAGGTGTGGCGACTGTACTGAAATTCCTCACAAACCTACGGTAGTAAGAGGCAAGACCAAGGAAGCGCAGGAGCTGCTTCCTGGTGGTAGGCTGTGGATACTGTTGGATGGCTTGAGTGTGTGAGTCTAACGGAGCTATGCTGCCACTCCCAATAACATGACCCAGATAACGCACTTTACCTTTCGCGAAAGTGGACTTGCCCAGGTTGATGGTGAGGCCGGCTGTCAGGAGCTTGGAGAACAGACGTCGCAGCTGGAGCAGATGTTCACTCCAGGAGTTGGAGGCTACGACGATATCGTCCAGGTAGGCGTATGTGTTATCCAAGCCCTGGATGACACGGTTGACAGCTCTTTGAAAGGTGGCCGGGGCATTACATAGTCCGAAAGGAAGGCGTTCATATCTGAAAAGTCCAAAAGGAGTGATGAAGGCAGATATCTCTTTAGCGCGCTCCGTTAGACACACTTGATAGTACCCCTTAAGCAAGTCCACTTGGGACAAGTACTGGGCACTACCAATGGCATCAAGGATGTCATCTATCCTTGGCAAGGGGTAAGCATCCTTGACAGTGACAGAGTTCAGTTTACGGTAGTCAGTGCACAACCGCACCTTACCTTGGGGTTTGGGCACCAAGATACAAGGTGAGGCCCAGGGGGACTCACAAGGTGTAGCCAGTCCATGATCCAAGAGGTATTGCACCTCAGCACGCATGACTTCCTTCTTGCTCGGGCTGATTTGGTAGAAGGGTTGACGAATCGGCCGGGTGTCGGGGAGCAGTTGGATGTCGTGCTGGGTAACATTACACTCTTGGGGATCATCTCGGAACAACTCTTGATGTTCTCTGAAGATCTTGACGAGAGGTGCACTATGATTATCCTGAAAGTATTTGGGAAGATCATTAAGGATTTCGGAATTAGAAAGCGCTGACTCCTGGTCAGTGCTTTCGGGAGGAGAAGCCGGGAAGGTCTCACTGTGGATGTAGGGTTCTGTGAAAGTTGAATAGTTAGTCAGGACAGTGGGAGGAGTACCATTATATTGCTTCAGGAGGTTGACGTGGCACAGCTGGGTCTTCCGCCGCCTATCTGGAGTCTCTATTACGTAGTTGTTATTATTCCTGCACTCTTTGACGCAGTAGGGTCCTGAAAATCTGTTTTGTAAAGGTGAACCTGGGATAGGGAAATAGGCAAGGACGAAGTCTCCCGGCTTGAATTTTCTTACTTTGCTGGTCTGGTCGTAATGAGTCTTCATTCTCACCTGGGCTTTCAATAGATTATCATGGGCAAAGCGGTGGACTCTCTCTAGAATGTGTTGAAGGTTTTGAAGAAACTGGGGCACATTCTGATGCTCACTGAAGGTGGCATCTCTGAGAGAGTCTTTGAAAGCCTTAAGGGGAGTACGGCACTTACGGCCGTAGAGCATCTCATAAGGAGATACTCCTAGGGACTCATTGGGGAGACTTCTGAAAATACACATTATAAGGTCAATCTGCTTATCCCAATCCTTCGAGGTTTCACTACAAAACTTTTTCAAGA